AGAAAAATAATAGAGTGATATTTAGGTTATTTTTACTGATAATCCAATAGATAGAGATATATTGTTGTTCTCTGATAAACAGACCCATCATTAGAATTTCCCAGCATACCCCAAAGCCTGCCAAGGAGTATGAATAAAATAGACTGGTGGAAACTGATCAAACACATTTTATCTTGTTTCTTATGAAAACATTTACAAGAAAATGCCTATTTTTTAAAAGAAGTGGGTACTAAATTCAGCATGGTTGACATCAGAAACCCCTTTATTTAATCAAATTAAGCTCAGCAGTCTTTTCCCTTGTCTAATTTAAACATTACTATAGCAGACAGGGTTTGCTGAGTTCCTCTTGGCTCATGGCACTGATTCTGCCTATTTCTAAATTAAATAAATAAAGTTTGCCAGGAGGCTCATATAGCAAGCACATGAAGTAAATTTGGAGATCAGAAGTAGTGCCTCCTCCCTTCACTATTGCAGAGTGTCAGAGCCTCAGGGAAATCATGTGTGTGACATAGGGGATGATGAGAAATTACTTTTGGAAAAGCTAGTTTCTGTGAATGGGATAGTAATGACATGCTTATAGACACTCTATTAGTTGACTGGCAAAGGCTCACTCAGAAGTAAACCTGATAAGAAAATTATCTATACAAAGAGAACATCTATCAAAATTTAAAACTCTATCAGGAAATTAGGAAAATACTTTTTTTTCTCCTGGGTTTAGAGTTGCTAGATAAATGTGCAAAATTTTGTTCTTAATGAGAGCCCAGATACAAGACAGAAAAAAAATTTTTCTGTAAAGAAAATAGGTAGCACATTTCCTGTAAGGAAGAAAAAAGTGGGTTCTTTAGCCAATCCAGAAATCTCGCATTTCACTTCAGAGGGGTTTAAATTACATTGTTCCTGCATTCTAGTATCTTTGTATTTTTCTGTCAGAGTCTATAATTTTGAACCCATTCTTGGGTTATTCATTGCTCTCCATCCACTTTGACTAGAGCAAGATTAAGCTTTCTAGAACAAATCTGTGTTTATTGGAGTGTTTCCAGAATGCTGCTTGTGCTATTTTTAAATACTGCTACATTGAAAAAGAAAAAGGAGCAAGAAAAAAAACCCTCAAAAGTAATGTGATAATATTATGTTTCAAATTCAGTATGTTTACGAGTTTGAAATTATTGAGTTTCCACCCGTCTGTGCATAAGTTGTCTTGATTTCTTTTAAAGTAATTTATTTCACCTAAATTTCTTTTGTATAGAAAAATTGGATAATATAGACTATTATAAAGAAGCATAGTTACATGACCAATAAACCCCAATACCAAGAAAGAACCATTATTATCAGTTAATTTATTTTCTTCAATCTCATGATTAAGACTCTGTATTCTTTGTTTTATTTATACCCATTTATCACTCAACTAAGAAAACATGCCATAGTTATAATGTAGCCTACTAATTATAATTTACTGACCTATTCCCTATCCTTCATCCCCCGAAACCCTAAAACTATCCTTTTACCAGAAGCCAGGCTTTGGATGAGAGGACCTACTGCCTTGCCCAGTCTGTTTTTACCTCTGTCTTGTTCAGCCATGATAGCTGCTTGACTCTGCTTTGGACCTCTTATCATGACTGTTGAACAAAATTTACATAATGTAACTTAGGTAGATTCCAGAGCCTTTGTTATGCTGAAGTCACTGCACACATGCAGAAAAGTACCAAAACAAAGACTTTGAAACCCTCCAACCCTATATTTTTTCCTTATGCCTAAACTTTAACTTTGATGCAAATGTAATATAAATGTAAAACATTGATATAGATTTAACATGTAAATGAATGAGTATGGCTATGTTCCAGTAAAACTTTATTTATATGGCAGCCAGACATAGTCTGTCATACATTGAAGCCATGAATCTCTAAAGCTTTGTGTGATGACATCCTTGTCCATTTGAGGAAGAAGTTAAATATTTACATCACACACAGCAGGAAACCATATATCTATTAGGGGTTTAAACAATAAGAAAACTATAAAAATATTCTGAATGATACAAAACATATTGACCACAAAATAAGAGGTTGACAGTTGTGCCTACATAAGATTTAAATCAGAAAGCACACCATAAATAAAGATAAAAGATGAATGACAAACTGGGAAAAAAGTTGCAATCTGTGTGACTAGCAATTGGTATTGTTTTAACACACCAGTAAGAAGAGTAACTCAAAAGAAAATACAAAAGATATAAATTCACAAGAAGATTTATTATTTTTTAGTTCAGTAAATGAGAAAAGATGCTCATTCTTACTAATAGTGAAATCTCTTTATTAAAGGAAATTTTTTTGCCTGCCAAATTTATAAATGTGAATAATTAGTAATACTCCTAATACTCAGTATGTTGGGGAATATGGGGAAATAACTGGAGATGGTTATAATGTCTTATATTTGTTTTATGTTATTGTGCAACAGATTACCCTACAACTGAGCAGCTAAAAACAACAAACATTTATTATCTTACAATTTCAGTGGGTTAGGAATCCAGGAGTGGCTTAGCTTAAATGGTTCTGCTCAGAGTTCTTATGAGGTTGTAGTTGAGCTGTCAGCCAGCTGGACAATCTGCCACTGACCACTACCGTTGAATGTTGGCTGGCCCCAGTTTCCTTCCTGCCCTTTGCCAGGGATTTCACGTTCTCTCACTTGGGCTCCCTGAGTGTCTTTACAATTTGGCAGCTATTTTTCCCCTAAGCAAGTGATCTAAGAGAACTGCTAAGACAGACACCATGGTGTATTCTATAATGTCAGAAATGACATATGACTTCCATATGTTATTGGTCACACAGACTAATCCTGGTATATAGTATGGGAAGAGACTACACAACAGGTGAATACTAGGAGGCAGGGATCCTTTGGAACCACCTTGGGGCCTGACTACCGCATGGCCGTATTGGTACTGTATGCCTAGGGCCTTATTTCTCCCTGGCTGCTGGGCTATACAGTTCTCTACATGGTGTCTGCTGCAAATGGAATACCCAGAATGGCTTTTTTTTTCCTCAACTGTGGCACCTGGGGGCTGGCTGGGCATCTTTCACCCCATGTTGCTAGCTTGGGCTTCCTTACAGTATCGTAGTCTCAGGTTAGTCATACTTCTTAATATGGCAACTGACTTCCCCCCGAACCAGCATGCAGAAGATCTAGTTAGAAGCTGCAAAGGGTCTTATGATCTAGCCTCGCACTGTTTCCATTTTCTGTTGTCAAAACATGTCACAGGACCAGCTTAGAATTCAAGGGCATGATTACCAGGAGGTGTGACTTATTATGAAGGGCCATCTTTGGAACCTTTCCCAGGAAGTTATGCTTCAGAGAGATGATGCTGGCTTATTCTAAAGCTAGTTAAAGTAATACAAATTGATCTGATTCTTTGAAGATAAAATTGACAGTGTTGCCTATGGACTAGATATATGGTATTTGGGAGAAATAGAGAGGTCAAAGATGAATCTGAGAACTTTGAGCCAAGCAATTTGAAGAATAGGGATGTCATTTACTCAGATGGGAAGGGCTGCAAGACAACAGGTTTGGAGAGGAAAATCAGGATTGATTAAAATATTGGGCCTCTGTAATACATATTATAAATATGTAGCTATTAAGGGGGATCTACAAAGAGATCTGCATGTAGCAAAGTAGAAATACTATCCAAGTTATTAATTACAAGGTACAATAAATAAAGTATGATTCTTATGAAGAAATAAATATGTATTTATTAATATGTGCATTATTCCACATAATTCTAACAATTTCTAACCAGTCTTTCTAGGGCTATATTAAGAGTTTGTATTTTATTCCATAGGCAGTGGGAACTTTTTGAAGGCTTTTGGTCAGTGGCATGCTATGATCATAATTATGCTTTGGGAAGATGAATTTAACAGTATAAAGAATGAAGGAACAATGGGAGATCCAGGGATTGAGCTTTATGAACACATACCAAGTTATATTTAACTTCTTTGAAGTAACTCTACAGAGGTCAGAGATAATGTTGGGTTTTTTGTTTTTGTTTTTCGGGTTTGTTTTGTTTTGTTTTTTCTGGCTTCTAACCTAGAGCAAGCCAAAAGAAAGGGACCCCCCCCCTTGATAAATATTGATAAATGGTGAACTAATGAATACATGCATCATCAGCAGTTCATTGAGAAAAGGCTAGTCTAAATTAATAAAACATCCCAATTACATTTTCCCCCATTGGTTTTATTACATTCAAGTGGTAACAGAAAACAGTATAGTGTTAACACATAGTAGACCTATGGAGATCTGATTTTAGTTAACTAGTAGACTAAAATCATGTCGAATACTACCTTACTGTCTTTGATGATATATTTGACTTTTTTCTTTAAGAATTTACAACAATTAGGGTTATTTTAAATTCATCTCCTACCTGCATACATTTAAGGGCTCCATTTTCTCAATAACAAGAGTCCTTTGAGTGGTAATGAAAGGTTCTGATCATATAGTGTATATTGTTCAAAAGATTAAACTGTCAGAAATTTCAAGAAAGATTTTTCAGAAGAGACTGATTAAGTTGTCATTGGTCCAAAGACCATACTTCCCTTTTCCCCTAAAGAGATAGATTTTGGGCTTTGTTCCAAAAAATGACATAAACAAAGATAAAAGACAAGTGACCCCCCCCAAAATGACATTTTAAAGTAATTAATGATAAACTTTTTAAGGAAGAGTTTTTGTCCCTTTGGATTTTTGTTTGGGTCAAATTGTTTTTCCCCCACAGTACAAACTGCTTCAGTGCCTGTACCCTGTGGCACAGAGGCTAGGCAATGGTTTCACAGCAACAGTTAGCATTGGCATGGGGCAGGCACTATGAGAGGCCCAGGAGATTTTTTAAAAAATGTAAATATCAAGTGTATTTGGCTTGCAAGTTCCAATGGAAGGACAAAAATTGTTGTTGAGTTCATGATTATATTTGTCATTGATTTTAATAAATTGCAAGATATTTGCTAAAAATGTCTTGTTTATTTCAGGGGCTACACTAAGTATGAGACCAGCCCCCATTCCAATAGAGGACCCAGAGTGGAGACAAACACCTCCCCCAGTCTCTGCCACATCTGGCACCTTCCGACTACGGCGAGGGAGTCGATTTACCTGGAGAAAGGAGTGCCTGGCTGTCATGGAAAGGTACACGTGTCCTTTCCCATAAGCAATCTCCCAACCTTAGGAAAGAGAGAAACCTCAGATAGATTTGGACAGCTTTCATTTCAGACAAGTAATTTGGGATCTAGGTTCTATCTCTGAATGTAGTTTGGAGTATTATAAATGCTATATTGAAATAAGATGATCTTACCATTGGAGAAGTCATAAAATTGGAGTTAGCATCTATGAATATCACTTAATAATCTCAATAATTTCAGGAACTAGAAAGAATTTTTTAATTTAAATCTTTATATTGTATTTTGTAAACACTCTTCAAAGTCTTATTTTCATAAAAAATATTGAATACTTATATAGGAGGCTGCTGAGATTTTACTTCTTTCACTCAGGAGTATGGCTTAAATGAGCTTAGTCCCAAAGGTTAGAAATACATGTTTTTACTTTGATTTGGTAATTTATCTTCAGACTGCAGCACCAGTATCTGGTCCATAGTAAGTACTCAGTATGTTTTAGACTGGAATTAGACCTTAGCTTCAGTTTTCATATCTGAAATGGTATAAATTAATTAAATATGATTATTAAATGTTCAGTATATTTAGGGTGGATCCTGTAGTAGAATTATCCTTTTATTCTCCTACCTGTAAGTAATGTGTATGGAATTTTGTTTCAATGGAGAGTTTTATATTCAATAAGGTAATGTTTTCCATTAGAAAAGTATTTACTTCCTAAGATTAAATATAGAGAAAAAGAATATATTAGGCAAAGGTAAAAACAATTGAATTTTCATATTGAGATTTCTCAATAATTTAAATAATGAAAAAGAATGGAATTGAATGTTTAAAACTGGGTTTAACTTCTAAACTGACATAGAATACATATTTACATTGAACCAGCTTCACTTTTTTTCCCAATTATCTAATCTGACCAGTCGAAAGGCAAACTGGAAAGAGCATTTGACTCAGAGTCAAAGACCTGAAACCTGGGTTTGGCTTTGCCATTTAACCAGCTGTGCAACTTTGTCCAGGTCACAAACTCTGAGCAGTAACTTCTTCATCTATAAAATGAAATTTTTCAGTAGCCAGTAGTGAACCATATGTCATCCAGGACTTTTGCCATCTCTCTTTCTGCCTCTTTCCTCATTATCTCCCAGCTCATTAGACATCACTATCTGAAATAGAGGGAGATTGAAAATGCCAAAGTTGAGGCCTTGGTTTTTGTTTTTGGGTTGAAATTTAAAAGTTTGCTTAAAGTAGGCATAATGAGACTGTAGATTATTCATTGATGTTATCATATGTTGCTTTCCTTATTCACTTTATTGTAAATTCCAGTAGAGGCCATTCATTAAATAACGAATCCTTATATGCTTGAGCAGTTAAAGTAGAAGAGTGAGATTTTTTTATCCCAGAGCCCTAACATTTACAGTCTGCTTTATTTTTCTCATCTAGAAACTTTGATTCTTTCAAAAAATTTCCTCAGAACCTACCACATAATAGACATGAATTTAAATAATATCAAACTTAAATGATTTGTAGCATTATACATTTTCCTCTGGGTAACAAAATAAGCTTTGGTATTAGTTTCTAGTTGGTGTAAGTTCTAATTTTGCTACTGATTCAGCCATTTAATTTTTTCATGAAGATTCCAATATACATTTATCATAATGTCAGTATGAGGAAAGATTAATGTTAAAATTGATAATATTAATAATGGTAGGTGATATTCCTAATGCATATTCAGAATTGAACCTCGCAAGCTTTGCAGTTATTTTTTTTTCAAAGCCAACAAAAACTACCCATAGAATCACACTGATCAAATTTCAGTTACAAAGATACTGAGGGGTGTCTAGGTGGCTCAGTCGGTTAAGCATCTGACTCTTGGTCTTGGCTCCAGTCTTTATCTCAGGGTTGTGAGTTCAAGCCCAGCCCCACATTTTTTAAGCCCACTTAAAAAAAAAAAAGATATGAGCACTTACCCTGTGTAAAACTCCCATTTAATCTTAATTTTCACCTTTTAACCTTAATTTTAATTAATAAATGTCATTAATCCAGGAATTGGTTATCTTTGGTTTAATTTTATCTTACTTGGCACAACCAGTAAGAAAGTATGTGGTTTATTCCAGTAGTTGCAAAAATGCAAAAGCCTCTCAGGGTATTTAATAGCAGTAGATCACGGTATGATTTCATTCTGTGAAAGTGGAACTTTTTATTTTCTAACATGGAATATAAAATTCCCTGTCCTCAGAGCAATGCATGATGTTTTTCATTTTTTCAGTACACTGAATAGGTGAATAAATATATATGCACAGACTGTAAAGCCAGCAAGTACTAGGCTTACTCAAGTATATTAGTATAAGCCAAAAATTATTCATTCTTCATACCCTACACCAAGACAAATTTCAAATGAATCAAAAAAACGAATTCATATAAAATAATAGAAGAAAATATGGGTACCCTGGAAATGATGAAATTTTTCCTAACTAGGACTCCAAATCCAAAATATGGGAAAGGATTGATAAATTTGGTTACATACGTTAAAAGAAAAACTTTGGGGAGAAAAAAACTGAACAAAGTAAAAAAAAAAAATTGGAAAAAATATTTGCTGCATATTATTATCCCTGATATATAAACTTTTAAAAGAGAGAGAAGACCGCCAACTCTATAGAAAACTAAAGATATCAGCAGAAAAACAAATGCAAGTGCCTCTTAAACATATAAAAGGATGTTCAATTTAACTCATAGTAAGAGAAATACATATTAAAATTACACTGAGACACTATTCTTCTCCTATCACATTGGCAAAAATCCAAAAGTTCCATAACGTTTTTTTATTGATTGAGCTGTAGGGAAATGGGCACTCTCATACATTGCTTGTGGGAATGCAAAATGTAACAACTTCCATGGACAGGAATTTGACAGTATTGGAGACAATTACCCATGGATTTGCCCTTTGACTCAGCATTCTCACTTCTAGTAAATTATCCCAGAGATAAACTGACAAAAGTATAAATATAGCAACCCTGTTTGCAATAATATCAAAATATTGAATACAACCTATGTGTCTGTTGGTAGTGGACTGGGTGAATAAATTACAGTAAATCCATACGTTGGATGCCCAAGTTCAAATAATAGAGTGCTATGCAGCAGCAAAAGGAATGAATTTTCCTTTCTACAGAATGAAAATCATACTGTGTCCTTCTGTACTATCACTATTAAATATTTCATAAGGCTTTTTGCATTTTTGTATCCATCGGAATGAATACTTTTCTATATACAGTGATCTTCAGAATGTAATGTTAAAAAAAAGTGTCAGTTGTATATAGTAGGCTATCATTTATGTATTTATGTATTTGCTTATAATTTGTTTTAAGATGAAGGAATATGCCATAAAATAAAATGGTTACCAATAGGAGAAGAGAAAAAAAAAACAGATTGGAGGGGGCAAGAATAGAAGCTTGACTTATCTAAATATATCATGTTTTCACATTTTAACCATGTAAATATTTTATGTAATTATAAAACAAAATTAGGTTGAAATGGGGGCAAAGGTAACCCCTAAAATAACTAAAATGAAACAAAAGTGTGACCTAAACATTCATGAACTGTATCAAATAACTTTATAACACAGTATTTTGCCTATGCTTCTTGATGGGATACAATTTAGGAATAAAGAACTACAAAAAAACTTACCTTGCTTTTACTAATGTTGGTAATATTAATATTGTTATTCAGGTACTATTTTTATTTGTGTAGATGCAGATATAGGTAAGACAATTGTAGTGTTATTAGGAATCAAGTTTTTCAGTGTAAAACAGATAAAAATAACTAAGTAAAACGCTGTAATCTTGTGTATGTTTGTGCATATAGAAATTTATCTGGATTGTATTCTTTTAATAACAGCCTTATTGAGATACGATTCACCTAATTAAAGTGTACAATTCAGTGCTTTTTAGTGTATTTACAGTTATGCAACCATCACCACAATCAATTTTAGAATATTCTCTTCACCCCCAAAAAACTCTTGTACCCAGTAGCGGTCACTCCTTTTCCCCCATCCTCCCCAACCCTACGTAACCATTAACCTGCTTTCCCTGTATATGGATATGCCCAGTCTGGACATTTCATATGAATGGAATCACACAAATGTGGCTGTTTGTGACTCACTTCTTTCACTTAGTATAATGTTTTCAAGGTCCATCCATGTTGTAGGTCATTTCAGTTTTGCATTTCTTTTTGTTGCCAAATAATAGTCCATTTTAAAGATTTGCCATATTTTATTTATTCAGTCATCAGTTGTTGGACATTTGGGGTTGTTTCCTCTTTTTAGCTATTATCAATAATGCTGCCATCAATGAAATTTGTGTACTAGTGGAATTGCTGGGTCATATGGTGACTGTGTTCAGCCTTTTGAGAAACTGCCAGACAGTTTCCAAAGCATATGTACCCTTTTACATTCCATCGAGCACTATATGATGGTTCCAGTTTCTCACCAGCACTTTTTATTGCTGTCTTACTGATTCTAATCTTCTTAGTGTGTGCAAAAGTAGATTCTCATTGTGGTTTTGATTTGCATTTCCCTAACCAATGGTGTTGAATATCTTTTCATATGCTTATTGGCTATTTCTGTTTTATCTTTGGAGAAATGTCTATTCAGATCAATTGCTCATTTTTAAAGTTGGGTTTATTTGTCTTTATATTGAATTGTAAGTTTTCTTTATATGTTCTAGGTACAAGTCCCTTATAAGATACATGGTTTCCAAATATTTTTTTTTTTTGCCCCTTGACATTTTATTTATTTATTTATTTATTGAATTTTTAAGATTTAAATTCAATTAATTAACATGTATTATTAATTTCAGAGGTAGAGGTCAGTGATTCATCAGTCTTATATAATACCAGTGCTCATCATATCATGTGCCCTCCTTAATGGCTATCACCCAGTTACCCCATCCCCCCACCCACCTCCCCTCTAGCAGCCCTCAATTTGTTTCCTGTGATTAAGAGTCTCTTATGCTTTGTCTCCCTCTCTGA